AATATGCAGCAGCAGGCACACACGGCTCACGGGACTGTAAAATGCAGTTACTCCTTAGAAAAACAACCTGATTGTTCCCCGAAACATACAGAGACATCCGCCCGCCACGTCACTCGGCCATTCTCCTCCTAGGCATTTGCCCAAAAAAAGACTGTTAAAGATTTCTTATTTTAAACTCTCTCTGTGTGTGCAGGTGCCCTGGGAGGCCAGAGACTTTGTATCCCCCAGAGCTGGAGTTACAGGTGGTTGTGAACCCCCTAACGTGGGTGCCAGGAACCAAACTTGGGTCCTCTATAAGAAGAGTACACATGCTTACCCGAGGAGCCACCTCTCCAGCCTCTACTAAGCTATGTGTACATATGTGGTGGAGCTCAGGGTATGCAAAGGCTCCCCTGGAGCTGGAGTTGACATGGGTGATGGGAACTGAACTCAGGTCCTCAGAAAGAGCTGAGTCAGCTTTCCAGTCCCAAAGAAAGACCTTGCATGTTTATAGAAAGCCTGTTCAGAAACCTTCCTGACCACTTATTTCAACAGCTTTAAAGTGGAAATGGCGGGGGTGTCCATCAGCAAGTAAATGGCTGAACAGACTGGCCTACCCACGCAAAGGATACTATTTAGCAGCGGAACAGTCTGTGGGGGGGACACACACTTCAAAATGGATGCTCCTTAAAATACTCATTAGAGAACCCAGACACAAAAAGTCACTCACTTACAACAGCTTTTAAGGCTGTTGGGTATGTTCTGTATTTTGATAATGGTTTCGCTGGCACAATCCTGTCAAAACGCACATCAAAATTTATTACCCTATTGCACACTTTAGATGGACACATTTTACTGTACTCCAGGCAATGTCAACAAAGCTGGCTTTGAGAGGGCACAGTGATACAAACATTATGGCCACAGTCTCACGGTGCTGAAACGCCGCCAAGCAGACACACTTGTATTTAATGACTCGCCCGTTGCTGGGTATTGCACTGTTCTATTAGTAATAAAAGTGTAATCCAAATCTCTGTGTTGGTGATCTCAGATTACATGTAGGTCTAATTCCCTTTTTCTTAAGCTATGTTTTTTGAGAAGTAGAATGAAAACACGTTATCTTAGCTAAAAGGCCCAGAAGCACTGACAATATTGTTAAGCAGGCCAAAGAGTGTGTGCACTTCTGGGCTATTCAACGGACAAGCCTGTACCAAGTTCCCGTCTCCTGGCTACCTTCGTAGCCCCCTCCTCTTGCCTCCCCTCCTAGTGGCTGTGGGCCTAGGGAAGACAACAACGTTAGGCGGAGCCTCTCCTGGTGGCCTTGGTCCTGTCCACTCTGGGATGTCCTTGACTGAACTTGTTACCCTGTGAATCATTCGGGGACAGTGCCCACCTGCTCCCAGGTCCAGGGTACAGCATGTACTCACTTGGTTTTGTTTCTTCTTTTTCCTTTGGGGAGAGGGGATTGAACCCAGGGCCTTGCGCATGCTAGAAAAATTCTCTCCCGCTGAGCTATAACCTCAGCTCTCTCACCTGTTTCTTGGTGTCCACCTCCAGAATGTCCATCAGGTTGATCATGATGTTCTTGTGAGTCTTCTTGTACTTTCCAACCCTCAGCGAGACGGTGAGCCAGCCTGGACGCCCTGTGCACATGAAGGTCTTGCTGCCCTGTTCCTTCCATTCCCGTACCTGCAACCACAGGACGGGATTTGGCCAGCTCCATCTGGGATCCCAAGAGCAGCTCACAGCCCTCCTTTCAGGATGAGGGAGCTGGGAAAGATGCTTTCACCCAGGCACCGTGTGGGAGGATGGTGATGTCCCTAGGGCCTTACCCTGTGGAGTCTCCCTAGCTCACAAGGCCAACAGAACAGCCAACGTGTTGCTACTGCACAAGGAAGAATAAAAAAGCTCAGAAAACAAGCAGAGCCCTCCGAAAACATTGAGTGGACAGACCTCAGGAAAGGCTTCACCGAGGTAATGGAGTAACTATAAAAATGATTATCATCTCCATTCTGCACCCACCCACCTAGGCACCTACTGTACGTTGTCATGTTAGATTTCTCAATCCCAGGAGGTTGGGGTGACCTCCCTTTGGCAGATGAGGCAAGCCCAGGGCAAAGTAGCTTGTGTAAGATCATACAACCTATGACTGGCAAGACCCAAGTTCACAAACAACCAGAGGGCTGGAAAGACAGATGGGCTTGTCCACGGAAAACAACACATGTACTACTTTGACAGGGAGAGAAGGGGCAGGCAGCCAGTGGCTGAACTACCTTGGCAAAACCTCCATACCAGAGCAGAAAGGGTGCGGAGAGTGATGTGCCACTGAGGGATACAGGAGCTTGTCTTGTCCCAGGCTGGCACAGTGCATGGCGGTAGTTAGAGCATCCATTTCCTCTACCCTCCGCCCAGACTGACTGTACCCTGCTGGCTACCCTGGCAGTTTTAGGATTGGGACTGTGATCCCACAAGTCAAGCCATTGGGTCTGGCTCCCAGAGGGGTGCTCTCTCTTTCCTGAGGTGGTGGCAACACTGGCTGGATCGGAGCCAGAAACTGTTGGGGACTCCACAGGAAAACAAGAGCGCGTGAGGATGAAGTCAGCCAAGAAAGACACAGCAGGCAAGAGGGGGTCCTGGATTCAGTCACACCTCAGCCGGCTGCACCCCTGGATTTTTCAGGACATAAACTAGTATGGCCAGCTTCAACTAAGTTTTGCAAGAGTGCAGTCAAGGGTCAAGGGTCAGACCTCTGGATTAGAAGCTGCCCTGGAGCTGTCAGGCAGAGGGCTCAGGAAGGGATCAGGATGGGCTTTCCTCTTATTCAGTTTGGCAGAAGGGCACTACTTTGCATTGGCAGTGGGAAGACAAAAGGTGAATTCCAAGACCACCCGGCTCTGCCTGACCCTGCAGTTGAAGACTTCCTGTAAACAGAGCGTGAGGGAGTGGACTAGGGGTGCTGGATGTGGGGTCACACAGACAGAAACTATCAAGCCTGGATTTGGGGCAGATGAGCAAAGCCTGAGAAACAAAACAAACAACAACAAAAACCTGTTCTTTGCCAAATTCTCAAGAGAGGTCCAGAAAGTGGGTAATACTCTGGCAGCTATGGTAGGCGGGTAGGTACGAGGCAACAAGCCCAGAACGTGGGATGGGATGGAGAGATGGGGTTGAGTGAGTTGAGAGTTCAGGCTCATATCCCAAGCCAGTGTGAGTTATTGAGTAGTTGTGTTGTCCTGGGTACACGACTCACAAACAGGGACCGGGCATCAGGTAGATCACACACAAATGGCACGAGGTGTGACACGAAAGGCCCCATTGTCTCCTAGTCCCAGTTCATCCTCCCATTTAGTCAAGGTTAACAAGCGCTCACTAACATACTTTGGCCCCAAGCGGAGCTGCCAGGTAACAGTCCCAGGTAACAGTCCCTTCTTGGGGAGCTCACAGGGCACCCAGCGGGTAAAGGCCCAGATAGATCTCGGAAAGACCGTGCAGGTGGGGTGGGGGTGGGAGACATCAGAGCCTTGGGGCTCCGACTGTGAGCTACAAAACCCAGCAGTGCAAACTGCTTCTGAGCCCTGCACCCTCTGCGTCTCCTCTCACTGGGCAAGGTCTTTTGGTCTGGGGAGGTCAGTCTGCCTGCGCCTTTGGGCTCAGCCTGCAGCATGCAGACAGCATGAAGTAAACGGAACAAGAGGGTGGCAGCAGAAAGCGACACTCTGCTGCCCGATGCCAGTTAGAGAAGAATATAAGGAGGGGTTGAGGGAGCGCATGCCAGCCCTGGATGGGGGAAGAAGGCTTCAGTGTGAAGAAGTCTCAGCCTAGGTACCTGCTGGCCGGTGTGAACTCTCCCTCTACTTACTGGGAGACACAGACAACTACATCTGGGCAGAGTGACTGTGCGTTAGCCGAGTCTGAGACGCCACACGGGGTTGGGGACTGGTTCCAAAATCCTCTACTTTAAAAGCGTCCAAAACACCACGAACCGCACAACACAACTTTCATCTCTTTCCCTGGCATAATGCTTCTCTCCAAACTGAATTTCTATCCTTCTTCTCCTCGCTGCCTGTGCTCCTCAGCTTCCCGACCCTGGCTCAACCCATCTCTCCTCTCGAATCATTTCTCACAACCCCCCCTCCCCCCATTTCCCAGCACCACCTCCCAGAGGCCATTCCTCCTCTGGAATGCGGGGAGCCTGACGAGTTACCTGACTCCAGAGGGTTCAGGGTCCCTGGTTTTCCAGGCACTGCGCATGCCCCGCACCTAGCGGACGCTCCGTAAGTCTCGGGGCAGGGTTGTGTTGGTTGCCCCCCGCGCTCTCCGCCGATTCCGTTTCATCCCTGGACGGTCCCTTCCCCCACCCCACGCCGGGTCCTCCGCGATCCCGCTCCCACGGCCGCTCGTCGGGCCCCCGCACACGCTCCCCACCCCCGGCCTCCAGCGGACCGCTAGCCCGGCGGCCGGCCGCGCCCCGCGCCGCTCACCTGCTTCTGGATGTCCCGCACGCGCTGCTCGTGCAGGCGCGGCGCGCTGCTCAGCTTGAACACCACCCAGGCGCGCACGTAGTAATAGATGTCGAAGATGAGCGAGAGCGGCAGCAGGAAGAGGCACACGAACACCCAGCGCTGGTGGATGAGCACGAACTCCAACCCCTTCACCCGCACCCACAGCAGAAAGAGCAGCGCGCACACGGCCAGCGACACGGCGGGCTCCATGGTGTCGCGGCGCGCCGCGCTGGAGGCTACGGGCTCGCGCCGCCCGTCACCGTCGCCCGCACCGCGCACCGCCGGCTCAGCGCCCGCCGCCACCGCCCCGGGAGCCTGTAAGTCGGGCCCGCCGCCTCGCGATTGGCTTGGGTCGCCAAGGTTCGGTGGGCCGAGACCCAGGCGGCGGCCAATGGCGAGCCGCGCCGGGGATCGGACCAGGGAGCCGCTGCGCTCATTGGCTGCGGGAGCCTGGATGCTCCACCCTCTTCTGGCCGGCGCGCGAGGAGGGGCTGACCCGGGCTGGGGGCGTTGGTAGGGTCGGCCAGCGGCCGGCTTGGCGGGGCGGAGGGTTCCCGCCCTGGTGGCAGTGGTGACCACCCACGATCTCTCCCTTAGGTGATGCCTCCCGTGGACACACGTCGAGCAGCCGTGCGTTGGGTTACCTCCCGAGAGTGGGAGGCGCTCCAGGCAACCAGCCGGTAGCCCTGGCAGGAGAGTCCTCCGGCCTGGACCCGCGCAGGTCCTGTCACCAGGTCAGGAGGGGCATCTTTTCAGTTTTCAAGGTGGTTACCAGAAATGCATCGGATAACCCCACCCCCTTAGCAGTGCCGGGCCGTGGGTAGTTGGGACCCCCACATTTTATGCACGATGGGTTGTGAATTCCACCTGTCGAGCAATTTCAAAGCACAGAGGCGATGATGGCGTTCCTCCGCGCTGAGGCCAAAGTGGATGGAAGTCTGGAGACAGAAGGGAAGGGCTTCCAGGTGGCATGGCAGCCCTAGATGACAACTAAGAAGCAAGCACATGGCTCCGTCCTTGCAGAGCAACCAGAAGCCTGAGCTTTCCCTGAACAGGAGGAAGCTTTGGAGATAAATTTTCAGACTCGTGGTCGCATAGCAGGTCCTCCTCTGCCTTCTGGGTCTTTCCTGATTCCCTCCCTTTTCGCTCCTGTCCAGGCACACACTGGCACTCCATTCCGCCATCCTTCGGGGCGATGCCTTTGGTGAATCTGTCTCTAAAATGCCCTTTCCCATCCTATTACCGAGCTACAACAGCGCACAGCCTGGAGATCCTCACAGGGCCACCTCGAAAGCCACGCTTCTGTGCTCTGCTGAGAGCGTTATCTGTAGCTGACACAGTTGGAATGTCCTTTCAATGCCAGTTCATAATATTCTTTTTAATTGTCATCAAAATGATTACATTATTTTTGGTTAATATTAAATAATTACCTTCTTCCTTGGTGTGCGCGCGCGTGTGTGTGTGTGTGTGTGTGTGTTAGTATAAGTGCGCGTGCGTGCATGCGGGTGCCTGTGTGTGTGTGTGTGTGTGTGTGTGTGTAGATCAATGTTGAGTGTCATTCTCAATTCCTCTCACCCTCCCTTTTGACACAGGGACTCTTCCTGAGCCTGGAGCTTGCTCGACTGGCAGGCCCATAAGACCTAAGGGATCCACCTATTTTTGCCCCTTCCCAGAGCTGTTTCAGGTGTGCACCGGGCTTTAAAATTTTTTTCTTTTTCTTTTTAGTTTTTGTCTGTATATGTTTGTATGTGTATGTTTTCATGGGTTCATGTGTACATGTGCTGACATGGAGGTCAGAAGAGGGCACTGAGTCCCCCAGAGCTGGAGTTACAGACAGCTGAGAGAGCCACATGTGGGTCCCAGGAAACTGAACCCTTGGTTCTTGACTGCTGAGCTATCTTTCCTGGCCCCAACACCCGGCTTTTAAGGTGGATCTTGAGGACCTGAATCCCCATGCTCTCACAGCAAGTGCTTTACTGACTGGGTCATCTCCCAAGCCCCTGTTCCATGGTTTAAAGGTAGTTTCTAGAAAATTAAAAACGGCAGGTTTGTGTCATGTTATGTGCCCAGAAGCTGCGACCCAGGGATCCTGTCAGAGTGGGGCCTGTTCAGACAGCAGTTCACCCTGGAACCTGTCTGAAGCAGGTGTCCAAACCAACACTTCATTTTGGAAGTTAAGTGTTCCAAGAAAAGATCAGGTGTACTGTCATCTGGGCAGCAAGCTTCCCTTAAAAGTTAACTAGCAATGAGCGTTTTGTAGGAGAAACAGTGAGCATTACTAATCAGGATAGTCTTGTCCTTGGGCGGGGAGAAGAAGGAAGCCTGTAAAGTAGATTAAAAGCAGTGATTTTTAGGAAGCGACTGCCAAATAAAAGTAATGAGAAAAACAGAGCAGTTGCTTACCTGGCGAGCGGATTCTCCCGCTCTCCTTCCCTTCCTGCTTGCCTCCTCCTGATTCTTTCCTTGACCCTCTCTTCACAAAGTCTAACCCTCTGGGTTGCTGTTTTCTGAACAAGGAAAACAGTCACTCCAAGCTGTGCCAGGTAGTCTACGTGTCGAATGAATGTAAGGAAGACCACTTACTTTAACACGGTAGGCTTCTCGTACTTACCACAAAAGAGCACAGAATTGCCCTGTCACTCCAAAACCTCCCTCCTGCTGCCTCTTTGGAGTTGCATTCTCCTCACCATGAGCCCCTGGCATTACTTTCCTGGTCTCAGTCTCTCAGTCACACACACACACACACACACACACACACACACACACACACACACATATAATCCCGGAGGGTCATATAACCTTAAAGCCAAGTATTAACTTTTCCTAGAATCCAAGTGGCTGCTTTGACCAGGAATCTGCTCATGACTTCACATTAGCTATAGAGTTGATTAAACATGGAAATGGGTCAGTCAGAATGTGGGAATAGAGGCTCTGGGAAGCAACTTCACGGGTTAGCCAGAAATTAAGGACAATCCCTGGGATGGTTTGACCACATAACACTCTTCCTAAAATGAAATCCTCCATTTTTTTTTTTTTTTCTGCTAAATACGAGCCTAATTGACACAGGCTTTTCCCCACCCAAATAGTTTAATAAACACTAGAGTTCTGGCATTTCTTGTATGTAGGTGTACAGTACAGTTTCTCAGATCATTTGGACTTTACAATTAGCTCAAGGGGTTATTCTAAGGAAACGGAGGCATTCAGACGTAGAGGGGTCAAGAAACTTACTCTGGCAAACAGCGGAGTGTGGCTCTCTCCACCTGGATCTTTCCAGCCTTTGAATCTTCTGCCTTGATTAGGTGGGTCATCATTTCCTGTGGCTCCATTCCACAGATTAGAAGTGTGGGCATTTAAATAGTGTGGCTTGAACACTAGTTACACGGGAAGGAATGCTTGCTCAGTTGTACTTTGGACTGTCACAGCTCACCTAATCTAAACTTCCAGCAATGCCCTATGTTCCTTCTCTCTCTCTCTCTCTCTCTCTCTCTCTCTCTCTCTCTCGTTCTAGAGATCAGACAGGGCTTTGTGCATGGTAGGCATGAAGTCAATCATTGAGCTGCATTCCCATCACCTTAGCTCTCTTCCTCCCTGATCCCCACCTTCTCCCCCTCTTCTTCCTCCTCCTATATACAAGGCCAGTATTGATTGAACTGTGACATCAACCACTGGTGAGGATTTAACATTTTCTCTAATTTCCAAACACCTACTGGATTGCTAAAAACCCGAACCACCACCAAGAGAACTAGTCGTGGCATCATGGGACTCTCTCACAACTGTGTGGAGAATTTCACCATCGCCATCTGCTTCTGACCAGAGAAAGGTTGAAAGAAGGCCGAGGAGACAGCGCATCCAGGGAGACTGAGGAGGACGAAGGAAAGTGTTGGCGGTAACTGGGCATGGCTGCCTGGGTTTGTAACCCCAGCATCAGGGGTGGAGATAACAGATCCCCAGCGCTTGCTGGACAGACAGTCTAACTAGAAATAGAGGGGTCTGGTTCAGTAAGACACCCTGTCCCAAGTCAATAAGGTGGTGAGTAAGAGCAGAGACACTCCGTGTTCAGCTCTGGCCTATGTATGCAACTCACACACACAGAGGCATGTATGCACACGCATATGCACACACGGTGCTGGCAGACTCCTCTTCCCCGTGTAGCTAGCTAGAAGTAGCATCACTGCACAGGAAGGGATTTTCATACAAAGTATTTATAAATGTGCTTTAAAGGGACAACTAACACAGTGAGCATGCTTGGGGCTCTTCAAGACGTCCTCTTGAACGGTTTATCTTGGGGCTGCAGAGGGTGTCTTCACTCAGCAGGAACAAGGTGGCCTCATTGCAGAGGGAGGAAAGACACGGGTATGAGTGACTTGGGTGCAGGTGCCGGGATGGAGGCAGGCTCTCCAGAAACAAGTCCCCGTGGCCTGGACTTGAGAGGGTTTTGTTTTGTTTTGGAAGATTTAAAAGAAAAGGAAGGGCTGGGTGTGGTGACACACCCCTTTAATCCCAGCAATGAATGCTTATGCTCAATTGACGTTGTCTTTTCTATACTGTCCGGCTCTGGGACTGGTACCACCCACCACAGACAAGCTGAGCTGAGCTGGGCCCTAGGTGGTAGGACTCAGTAGGTCCAGAGACCAGTCACAGATCAATGGAGGAGACTCGAGAACAACTAACAAAGGGACCCTAGGGAGCACGACAAAACTTGTGGCAAACATAATCTTTACTGAAAATGCTGGGAAGAGAAAACACCAAGTCATAATTGCTTAAGATAGCATTCCACAAAAGTTTAGACAGTGACAGCTTTGTGTCTGACGCTAATGAGGAGCCGAGCAAAGGCACACTGTTGCCATGCACTATCTATTGGTTGGAGCTCGCTGAGGAGGCCAACTGATGGAAACAGGCAGCGGAGCCCCACAGGCAAACATTAGCCAAACAGCCTGGGGGTTGGGAGTGTCCATCAGGTCCCTCTCCTGAATGTTCCTGAAGAGGAGAGGAGGAGTTGTGAAAGCCAGAGGGGTCAAGGACACCAGGAGAGCACAGACAACTAAGCCTGGCTCATAGGAGCTTGCAGAAACTGAAGTGACAATCAAGGAGCCTTCATGGGTCCACCGTAGGTCCTCTGCATACGTGATATGGTTGTTGGCTTAATGTTTTGTGGGACTCCTAACAGTGGGAGTGGGGGCTTCTCTCACTCTTTTGCCTCCTCTTGGGACCCCTTTTCTCCTACCGGGTTACCTTGCTCAGCCTTGATGTGAAGATTTGTGCAGACACTTGCTCTTCATTCCCATGGGTTTGTGCACTGCACACGACGCCAGGGCCCACAAGGCAACTGGATCCCACTTTGGCTTTTGTTTTTGTTTTTCTGAGACAGGGTCTTACTCTATTGTCCAAGGTCTCAAATTTGCTACGTATCCTAGACTGGCTTTGAATATCCCATGTAGCGAAAAGCTGGCCTTGAACTCACGATCCTTTGTTCCTCACCTCTGGAGTGCTAGAATTACAGGTGTTTACTACCACAGCTAGCTTTCAGCTTGTATTTTTGTTTTTACCAAGGTCTCTTTAGGTAGTCTCGGTAACCTAGAACTCACTGTAGACTGGCCTCAAATTCAGATCTATCTACTTCTGCCTCCCAAGTGCTGGGATTAAAGGGTACTACCATGCCCGGCTTCCAGCTTGGTTCTTGAATCAGAATCATATCAGCAATAAGACTAGCATGCATATAGTAATGGATATCCGTCTTTTCTTAACTAGTGATTAGATTTCCAACAGTTCACTTTAGAAGACACTAGCAAATCTATAGTAATGGCTAAATCTCTTCATCTGGAAATTCCTGCTTTGAATCCTTACTCTTTAAGGTAGGCAGGCAATTCAGCTGCCACAGATACGCTATTCCTCATCCTAAATTCAGGACAATGCTGTCATTATCAATTCCTATCAGAAGAGGCAGGTCTCTGCACTCGCCAAAGCTGTGTTCCCATTCCTTGATAAAAATAAAATGGTACCCACATCACAGCCCATGGATTTAAATGGATATACACAATGACAGCATTGACTTAATGTGCTTGGTGACCTGCCATTCTGTAGGTTTCGGTGGAGAAAACGGCACAAGAAGACTTGACAGCTAATGGGGCAAGCATGAACTGCAGATACAGCAAAATAGTTACTTACAAAACAAGACAGCAGCCACCTGCTTTAATGAGGGATGGACTGTCCTCCTCCTGTAAGCAGCCTTGTAGAGAGCATGGCTGCAGGTGTGATAGCCATTTATAGTGGTAGATATACATAATGATACAGAGGCATTCATAAACCTCCGAATTTTTCAGAGTAAGCACTCGCTCCCCACAAAAAGAACAGGTAATACTTTTTAGAAAGACACTGGAGGGCAGCAGGCATGTCTCAGCGGCAGAGCACTGACCTAGCACACTCACAGGCCCGGGTTTAATTCCT